CTTTTTAGGGTAGGCAAGTGGTAGAGCACTTGCCTAGCATGTGTGAGTCGGGCCCTGGGTTCTATCCCCAGCACCACTTTCTATTTTGGAATAGCTTTAGATTTACAGAAGGCTTGCAAAGGTAGCAGAGAGCCACAGACCTTTCACCAGCTCGCTGAGATGAGCATCCTGTAGCGCTACGGTGAGTTCATCAAAGCCAAGAAATCAACATTGGTGCCTGGTGCCCACTAAACTGCAGACTTGATTTCCGCTGATGGCCTTTTTCTGTTTCAGGAATGAACAGCTCCAGATCCCCACGTTACATCCAGCCGTCATGACTCCTGAGAGTTTCTTAGGTTTTTTTTGTTTTCATGACCTTGACACTTTTTGAAGGATACAGACCAGGTATGTTGTACCGATTCCTTGTATTTGTAAAAATCTGATGGGATGGGTGAATAACCTTGACCTGTGAGGTAGGCAGAGTGTGTGAACAGCAGCACACAGGACAAATTCGGGATGCTCTCTGTTTTGGTATGGTCTGCAAGCCGAGAATGGTTTTCCCATTTTTAAAATGGTTGAAAAAAATTAAGTGAAGAGCTGGGCACTGGTGTTTCACACTTGTAATCCTAGATACTTGGGAGGCTGAGATTGGGAGGTCTCTGTTCGAGGCCAGCTGGGGCAAAAAGTTCCCCAGATCCCATCTCCAAAATAACCAGGGCAAAAGAATAAATAAATAAAATAACCAGAGCATCCGAACACTGGTGGCTCATACCTGTCATCCTAGCTACTTAGGAGAGCGCCTGCCTAGCAAGTGTGAGGCCCTGAATTCAAATGCCAGTACCACTACCCCCCCCAAAAAAAAAAACATCAAAAGAAGAACATGTTGTGACATGTGGAAATGATTGTGAAATCCACATTTCAGTGATGATAAATAAAGCTGGATTGGTTCACAGCTATGGCCTCTCTTTTCTGGAGCATCTGCAGTGTATTTGTGCTATAATGGCAGAATTGAAGTGTTGTGACACAGACTATTTGGTTCAAAGTGCCTAAACATTTACTCTGCAGAGAGTTTGAGGCAGAGGTCCTGAGAGGATCTGGCATTCATTTCAAGTAAAAAACAGTCTATTAAAAGGACACTGCTGTTTTGGGCATGGTGGTTCACAACTGTAAACTCCCAGCTACTTGGGAGTTAAAAACAGGAGGGTTGTGGTTTGAGGCCAGGCAGGCAAAAAGTTAGTGAGACCCTATCTCCAAAAACAAGTTGGGTATGGTGGTTCATACCTGTAATCCCTACTACTGAGGAGGCATAGGAAGGAGAATTGCAGTCCAAGGCCAGCAAGGCAAAAAAAGTCTAGACCCTATCTGAAAAATAACTAAAGCATAAAGGGCTGGGGAGGGGCATGGCTCAAGTAGTAGAGCGCTTGTCTAGCATGCATGAGGCCCTGAGTTCAAACTCCAACATCACAAGAATATATAAGTGAGAAAATATTTTAAAAGGCACTGATGTTTTAAGTTCACTCATCCAATTGTTTCACAGATACTTACTGAAGGCCGGTGGTCAAAACTAGGAGAGACCCCAACTTGAACAGGTGTTAGTGATGCTCAAACTCTGGGACCAAGAGAGGTTAATTCTCACCAAACGCCTTCCCAATTCTTAGGCACAGTGTCTGTGTGTGATAATAATGGCTGCTGTCGTATTTGGAGCACTACCTTGTGCCAGTAATGCTTTACTTGTTCTGTCTCTTTTAATCCTCACAACCAGCCTAGTATCTGCTCCAGGAGGAAACTGAGGTTTAAAGGCTTAGCCACACCCAAAGGCACACAGGTAACTGTTAAATGGCAGAAGCAAAGCAGGAGCCCAGCCAAGTCTGTGGGCCTCTAGCTCCAATGCTGTGCAAAGGGCTTGCCATGCTGCACCATGGGGAGGGGCCGGGAGTTCTGGGGAAGAGGGAGAGGGCCTTCAGGAGGCTCTAGGTGGTTCTGAGGACCACTGTCGGTCCACACGTTTCTGGTCTTGACATACCTGCCAGGATGAAAAGGACAGCTAGCCAGAGGCCCTGTCTGAAATGGTGTTCCTTTTCCAAAGGAGCATCCCAGCGTGGTTTTTTGGCGTTCAGTGTTTTGTCTCTATGTCTTGGCTTCACGACAATACCTCTTGGTTATCCCTTTCTGTTGTTTTGCCAGCCCTACTGCTGGAGAGTCGGAGCTGTCTGTGCTGTCCCTGTCCCCAGGGCACTGATGCCAGCCCTTTCCTCTACCCAAGTGCCTTGAGGCTAGGCCTGCTGCAGGAGCTTGGGAGGTGCAGCGCTCTTCCTGGGTCTGAATCCTGGGTCTTAGGCTGACTTCGCTTTTGTCAAACAAGTTCAGAGACCACAAAACAAAAGCAATGCAGAAACGGCGCCTCAAGGAGGGATGGGACCCTGGCTGGCCAGGCTGGGCCAGGGGTGAGGTTGGAATGCCATTGGTACCAATCCTGATGTCAGTGGCTGCTTTGGGCTCCTGAATGAACACTGTACCTGGGACCTTGGCCTCCAACATGCTGGCTGAATCAGCACAGAGGGACAATGTTTGACAGTGGTCCCATTCCCAGTGGGTCCAAATGGGAGTGGCAGTTCTTTGGGGAGAGGTTTTTTTTTTTTTTTTTTTTTTTTTTTTGGTGATGGCATGGAACCCAGGGCCTCATGCATGCTAGGCAAGCGCTGTACCACTGAGCTACATCCCAGCCCGGGAGTGGCAGTTCTTAAGACAACCATCATGAGAAACAGACACGAAGGGCACCACATTTAACAAATGAAGCCCTGAGAGTTTCCTGTTCCCTTAGATGTCCCCAGGAACTTTTTTTTTTCAGTGCTGGGGTTGGAACCCAGGGCTCTACACAAGCTAGTCAAGCGCTCTACAACTGAACTACATCCCCAGCCTCCCAGGAACCTTTCAACTAGCTTGGAAACATATCTCCTAAGTTCTTAGCAGCTGTAAAATTGATTCATAAAGCTTGTTTCTCTTTTTGTGCCATTTTTTTTTTTTAAAGAACAAAATGTAAACTAGGTTGCAGAGCCCTAGTGGTGACACGCTCCAACAAGCGGGCGCCTGCAGAACCTTGGCTCACACCATCCACCCAAGGTCGCTGTGACACAGCCTGGTTTGGGGTAGATGGTTCTGTTCCATGTTCCAGAATGTTCCAAAGACTCTCACTGGGCCAGATTCCCAGCTGAACCCCATGCGGTGGGGAGGGAGGGCTGGGTGCACAGATGAGGACGTTGCTGCTGTTCTGTTTCTCTCACATAGACTGCTTCTTAGGAGAAAGGCACTTTCTGAGTAGACCAGGAATTTGATCTTAATGCCTGCTTCTTGGGGGAAGGGCAAGGCCCTGGTTTTGGGGTGGGTGGGTATGCTCAAGTGAGCATGCTGGAGGGCAGCACTGGGCACACTTGTCTGAGCCAAACGTCAGAAGTGATGACAAAGCTCTAAAATCAGACCATAACTTTTTACACTACAATGCTATGCTATTTTTGAGGACAAAATACAATATAAGCTTAGCAATGGCCCCAAATGTCCCTGGAGCTGGGGAACTAGCCTGTTTTTGCCTATTGCATGTTTTGAAGCCCAGCCGAGTGTGAGGTGGCAAAGCAACCACACTGGTTAGTGTGGGGCATGAGTGGGGTGATGGCTCCACTGGGCGGGGCCGCATGTGGTTTGTGGCCCAGGTGCAGTGTGTGGGGCTCCAGTTGTCTCTGCGGCAGTTTCCACCAGGGTTAAGCGTGACCAATGATGCTCATCGTAATGGCCACACTCAACTGCTCAGATGTTTTGCTGAGAAAACGCTTAGTCAGGGACTGTCAGGAGCCCAGAGCACCCAGCGCCCTCTCCCTGGCCTCAAGACAGGGCAAATCCCCACTGAGCCACATTAGGCCAAGGGTCCAGGTGGCACTCCAGGAGAAAGGAATAAGGCCACTGACCACCGCTTCCCTAGACTGTACATGTCATGAGGAAGACTTCCTGCTGGCTGAGGCGGAGCCCCTCCAGGCAGCACCCCCACAGATGAGGCACAAAGACAGGCCCGGTATCCAGCCGCCATTTATGTCCTGCTGCCAGGGCCGCGCTCGCCTCCACCCACTTTTCTATTTCAGAAACCGGAATGTCCAACTTTGCAAATTCCATTGCTTAACAGAAATTTGCTTTTAATGTCTAAATGCTGTGAAGATTAGAGGAGGGACGGGGAGATGTAGAAAAAGTGGTGCTTTTTGGAAAACACACACGCATGTGTGCAAGTGCGTGCGCGCGCACACACACACACACACACACACAGCCCTTTGTGCTTCAGACATTCCTTTTGACTTCACTGACCATATTACCCAGAACTTTCTGAAATGGTTAAGCCAAGAATTTCAGTCGTGAATATTTCTGCAGTGATTTCGTCGGGAAGTTCTTCTTCAAAGCAAATTTCTGAACCTAACCAAACAAGAAAAGAAAACCAAATGCTTTTCCAGTGATTAGGTTTCTATCTCAAAGATACAAGGAAATGATACTAAACAAAAGTAAGAGGTGCTTTGTCCTAGGCTTTGTCTGTGATATTTTAAAAACAAAACCAAAAAAAAACCTTGGGTAGAAATGAGTTCAAATCCCTCCTTAATGGAGTGGAGCACTATTAACTGAACCACAGAGTGTCATAGATTTTACTGTTTCAAGATTCCTGGAAACACAATGTCTGTGTACAACAATTGGGAAAGATAGGTTCTATGATCCAACAAGCATAAAGGAATGGGGTAGTGGTAGCTTGCAGGTTGGAAATGACCCATCAGGTACTGGAGTCTAGAGTTACCTGAGTTCAAGAACTTTGTTAAACTTGACATTGGGGATGGACAATAAAAGGAGCAGCTAGGAATGTCTGCTCCTTAGTCTTAGTAGGCAGCATCTCTGACCACCCCTGGCTGGTTAGTGGATATTCCAGCCTAAGCAGGCCTAGAAGAGCTGCTTGGATTGGCTCCTCCTGAGCCTCACAGCCCTAACTTAGGCCCATGGCTGAAGAAGAAGCTGGACCATCCTTAAGCTACAGCAGAAAGAAGAGGAGGAGGATTCTTTTCTTTGTTTTTGTTTCTTCTTAATTGGTCCTGGGTTTTGAACTCAGGGCCTCAGGTTTGCTAGGCAGGCACTCCACCACTTGAGTGCTCCATCAGCCCTGTTTTGTTTTGTTTTGGTGCTGGAGATGAACCCGGGGCTTCAAGAATGCTAGGCAGGGGCTCCCACACCCTGAGCACAGGATGATCCTTAAGAACTTTAGTGTTCTGGAAGCTTGAAGCTGGGTTTGTTCTACCACCAAGTTGCCTCTCCTTACCCACGTCTTCTGAAACCACTATCAAACTCTACCTTCTACTAAGTGGCTTATGTTCACCCACACAAGCCAGAAAGATGAAGAACAGGTCAGTTTCTAAAGAAGAAAACAAGAGCAGAAGACACAAAAGGATGAACAGAGTGCAGGAATGAAAGCTGTCCTCGCATGGACACAACCACTACCCACCGGCTTGTCACAGCTTATTCATGTGGGATTCCCAGCAGACTGACTGTTGTGTGCACGGTCTTAAGGAAAGTGGCTTGCACCAGTCAGGAGAAGTGAATGCACTTAAGTCTCCAACAAATTAGGGAGCTGCAGCTACACGCCCAGACAAAGGCAGCCCCAGTACCTTTGACCGAGGAGGCTGCAGGCTCGGATTTCCACCCCTCAGGATTCAGGCCAAACAGCGAAGCAAAGCAGTCTGACATCTCCTCTTCTGTCATGTGCTCACCTGGGCATCATGGAGTGAAAAGGTGGCTGTTTAGCTGGGTGGGGAAGGGCTAACCATAATGTCAGAGTTTAGGATTATCATTCAAGATCTCGAAGCGAATTAATTATTCCACTCTTTCTTTTTGTTCAGACAAAAAAACAATCTAGAGAGCTCCATGTTACTGTCACATTACTTCCTTATATGGTGTTAAAAAGTGTACCCCTGCTGGTTACCGGTGGCTCATGCCTGTAATTCCAGCTACTCAGAAGGCAGAGATCAGGAGGATCACAGTTCAAAGCCAGCCCTTGCAAATAGTTTGAGAGACCCTGTCTAGAAAAAATCCAACACAAAAAGGGTTGGCACAGTGCCTCAAGTGGTAGAGCACTTGCCTAACAAGTGTGAGTCTCTGAGTTCAAACCCGAGTCTCACCAAAAAAAAAAAAAGTGTACTCCAGTCAGGGAGAATACGTTGAGCCTATAGAAAGAAATAAGGCAGCTTGGCTGATAAAGACTGTGCCCCGTTTTATTTCAAGTTCCCTGTTATCAGGACCACTTCAGTTTGACTAAGATGAAAATGGTCCTCATTGAGAGCTGGCGATTCAACTCCCTCATAAAATAATGAGGAAAATAATAGTAAAAATTTTAAAATGTTTACTTAGGTATGCTTTTACTTCACAAATGCATCCCAACTTACAAAGCTTAAATAAGCTAGCATTTATGTCCCATTTTAAAAGCAAGGGCATTGAGATTACACAGTTTTGGGAAGCTCACTTCTAGGTCAGGGTCCTTTCGATGGAAAGGACCCCATAATTTGCCAGATTTGCCAGATGTGCGGGACAGTAAGAGGTACCCTCCTGGCTGAAGCCTATATATCGCTGCTCTTTCATGACAGATGGGGATCCTGAGGGGGCCCTGTCTCCCCTACCTCAGTTCTCCCCACTAGGGACGCTGACTCAGAGATGTGTTTACCTTTGGTTAGGAGCAGTTTCAGGAGGTCCTCTCTCCGAATGACCTTTTCTCCTTTGGAGTTGGTGACGCCGAGCACGTTGAAACTCTGCTGGATGCTGCTCATGGTGTTACCGAAAGGTGGCCTGTGATTGAGGTAAACCTTGAGGAAGTCTGGTAAGTTGATTTTGTCAATGAGGTTTCCAGTGTCCACGTACTCACTAAATTTGACTTCATTAAACATGTCATCAATCTAGGGAAAAAGAAAGATCATGGTGAATGGAAGGGATACTTTGTTCTCATACTTCTCTCTCTTTTGGTGGGATTGTGGTTTGAACTCAAGGCTTCCCACTTGCAAAGCAGGCGCTCTGCCACTTGAGCCACACATCCAGTCCATTTTCTCTGGTTATTTTGGAAACGGGGTCTCATGAGCTATTTGCTGGTCTCGGACCTTGATCCTCCTGATCTCAGCCTCCAAAGTAGTTAGGATTATAGGCATGATCCACGGCACCCAGCATTATTATACTTCTAAAAGCTGGGGAGGAACAGACAGTATTCTGTTAGCTTAAAACATGTCTGTCATGGGTTGCATTGTGTCTCTCAGGAAAGACACACTGAAGTCCTAATCTTCAGGACCTTATGAGAAATAGGGTCACTGCAGGTGTAATCAGTTAAGAGTACATGGGCCTTTAATCCAATCAATGTGACCAATGTCTATATAAGAAGAGGAAAAATACACGAGGAGAAGGTACTCTACTCTCTGAGAGGCAGAGATTGGAGCAGAATAGCTTTAAGCTAGAAATGCCAAGAACTGCAGGCAACCACCAGAAACTGGAAGGGCCAAGGATTTTCCCCTTTAGGTTTTGCAGGGGACAAGGCCTGATGACACTTTGATTTTGGATTCTGTGAGAGAATATGTTTCTGTTGTTTTAATACACACTATGTCCTAGTTGAACCCAAGTTTAATCCTCAGCACCTAAACAAACAAACAAATTTTTCTGTTATTTTAAGCTAACCAATTTGTGATTTTTTGAGACATTGTCTTGCTGTGTAGCCCAGGTTGGCCTTGAATTGGTGCTCCTCCTGCCTCCACTTTCTGAGTGCTGGGTTTACAGACATGCACCACCATACCTACTCTGCAATATTTCATATAAACAACAGATTGTATGTAACAAATACGTAATTTATGTGGTGATTTTTTTAAAAACAGGCTCTTACTAGGTAGCCCAGGTTAGCCTCAGAGTTGCAGTCTTCCTGCCTCAGACTCCAGAATGCTGGAATTATAGAGGTAAGCCACCATGCTTGGCAATGGTATAATTTTTGTTTGGCAGTACTGGAGTTTGAACTCAGGGCTTTGCACTTCCTACCACTGGAGCCACATCTCCAGTCTTTTATGCTTTTTAGTTATTTTTCAGGTACAGTCTTGTGGGGTTTTTTTGCTTAGGGTCAGCCTCAGATCAAGATCCTCCTACCTCCACCTTCTGCATAGCTAGGATTACAGTCATGTACCACCAGGCCTGGCTTATTCCTTGAGATAGGGTTTCACTAATTTTTTTACCTAGGCTGACCTGGAACATTGATCCTCCTATCTCTGCCTCCAAGAAATCAGATAACTTAGATGAAATAGACAAATTCCTAGAAAGATACAAATGACCAAAACTTACTCAAGAAGAACACCAGAATGGACCTATAAGAGATTGAAGTAACACTTTTAAAACTTCTGGCAAAGAAAAGCCAAGGAACAGATGGTTTCCTTGGTAAATTCCACCAAGGCTTAAGGCAGAATTTTCTACAAGCTCATCCCAAAAATAGAAGAAAAGGGAACACTTCCCAACTCATTCTATCAGGTCAGCATTACCCTGAGACCAAAAGTAGACAAAGACATCAAAAGAAAGCTACAGGCCAAAATCCGTTATGATTTTGGATGTAAAAATGCAACAACAAAGTGCAAGCAATCTGAACCCAGCAACATACAAACAGGGTTATGCACCATGGCCACATGGAGTTTATTTCAAGAATGCAAGGTTGGCTTAACATGTGACCCTCCAGAATATACTACGTGATGATCAATAGAAAAATGACAAAAATCACATGATTACCTAATTAAATGAGAAAAGCATTTGACAAGAACCTAACAACTCCAGCATAAAACTACTCAGCAAACTAGGCAAAGAAGGAAGGCTTCCTTAACTGGATATTGGGCATTATGAAAACTCACAGCTACTAACATATTTTAGGATGAACCACTACAGGTTTTCCCTAAGACCACAAGCAAGACAAGGATGTCTGCTCCCACTACTTATACTCAACACCGTTCTGGAGATTCTATATGTGGAAATTAAACCAGGAAAAACAGATAAAAGGTATCCAGGTTTTAAAGGAATCAGTAAAACTGTATTTATTTGAAAGCTGACAGGATCTTATACGTAAAAAATTCTAAGCTGGGATGACAGGTGTGGGGGAGGAGGCTCCCCCAGCTGGGGGGGCTTACAAACTTTTTGCTTCAGAAGGCCTCTAACCACAATCCTCCCAATCTCCACCTCCCAAGTAGTTGGGATTATAGGCTTGAGTCACTGTGCCTGGCTACTAACTAAATTTCCAATAGCATCAAAAATAATAAATACTTAGGAAAATTTAACAAAAAAGTAAGACGTATGCCCTGACAACTATAAAATGTTGAAAGAAATTAAAGAAAACCTAAATAAGTGGAAAGACATCCTGGATTCAGGGCTTGGAAGAGTTAATATGAAGGTGGTAATACTGCTCTCCAAACTGATCTGCTGATTCAACAGCATTTTTGTGAAAATCCTAGTGTTCTTTTTTCTTTCTTTCTTTCTTTTCTTTCTCCTTCTCTTTCTCCCTTTCTTTCTCTCTCTCTCTCCCTCTTCCTCCCTCTCTCTCTTGCAGAAAACAACAAGCTGATCCTACACTTAGATATGGCA